CGTTCATAAATAAGTGCAACAATCAACATTTCACACTTGCTGATGTACAACTTTGACCATTAATATCTAGGGAAAAAGTACATATATACCCCTATAATATAGGTGCAGGAACAAATATACCCCTGTTCTATTTTTCAGAATAAATATACCCCTGGACTTTGAAAAAGGTGCAAAAATATCCCTTATGTTTTTATAAAGTAGCAAATTAATCCTTATTAACTTTAAAGTAATAAAATAAATTTCCAAAAACACCCAAAAAATTAAAAATTCGAAATTAAAATATAAAAAAAATAAAAATTAAATATTTTTAGTACTAGTATAAAATATTATTTCAAAATTTTACTATATATTTAAGATTCTTTCGAAAATGTGCTAACATATGTGTTGCAATGTAAAAAATTATTTTTGCATTTTTTTGCACTATAAAATTACATATTTTGTATGATGATAAATAGCCCAAAAATTACAAAATAGTGAATTTATATACTAAAAATATTGAATTGTGATACAAAAACAAAAAGGGAGAATTGGACACAATTACATTTTTTAATTTTTTTATATTTTAATTTCGAATTTTTAATTTATTGGCGTTTTTTGAAATTAATTTTATTAATTTAAAGTCAATAAGAATTAATTTTCTAATTTATAAGAACATGAGGGATATTTTTGCACCTTTTCCAAAGTTCAGAGGTATATTTGTTCCGAAAAATAGAACAAGAGTATATTTGTTCATGCACCTATACTATAGAGGTATATATGTACCTTTTCCCTAATATATAAAATTCTTTATTAGTAAAAAATTTAAAAAAATCAGATTTTGAAAATTTAGAATGAGACAAATTTAATAATGTTTTTTTCAGAAAAATATATTAATACATCAATTAATAAAATGTAGTCAAAGTAGAACATGTGAATAGTGTAAAAATTAGCATGTTGCACTTATTTAAGAACGAGGGTAGTATTTAGCTCTTAGACCCGACTTTTAGTGTCGAGATGTGATTGCTATGTATGTAGAGTCTGTTTAGTAACACAGAAGGCTGTCGTTGATTCTGCTGAAATTCTGGTTGAAGTAACTGGATTGAATGATTATGTTGATTAATGAAAAAAATTAAAATAAAATTTATTAATATAGTAAATAAAAAATTATTGGAAAATAGCTATAATGATCATGTACAATAACTTCACCCAATCCAACTAGAATAATGACTCCAACCTTACTTATGTTGATGATTACACAACTCGTAGCGCTAAATCAAAAGTTACGTATATATAATTTGGTGAAGAAGCTGGTTGATATTATAGATGTAGCATGAATTTTACCTTTTAAAGAAGGATCAGTGAAATGTAGCTTATAAAGGACTGTTAAGAGTGTCAGAATATAATAAGTAAATGAAAGTTGGTGATTTAATTTTGAAATTTTCAAATAAAACTTTAATGAACTATATAGTTCTGGTAGTCTAATATAAGGTGATCATGACATGCAATGGAAGGGTTTACACATTTTCAAAAATCTTGCTATACAAGACATTTATGGTTGTGGACCTGTGGTAGGTACATGCTTGATCATCCTCATCAAGAGTAAGTATATTCAATCCCTTTGTCAATTTTACTCCAGAAAGTGTCATATAGTTGACCATATGTGTTAGCAAGAACAAACCAACCAGAGAGACTGTCCTTAGCTTTTAAAGAGAGAGGTTGTCCTTGCTTGGCATACCAAAACAAAGAGAGTCTCGAAATTGCAGCCTACAAAGTTTGAATGGATATCCTTGATGTGAAGGTACCTGTAATGATTGTTGCTCCTATAACATTGACACCCAATTCATTCACCAATAACCTTGTTCCATTACATATACAACATCTTCTTTTAGTTCCTTCTGATGAAACTCATAGATTAAGGTCTTCCTAATGGATACTTGTATTTAATTTATTTCCCTACAATTTAAATGAAACCATCGGATACGTAGAAAAAGGAAACACGTGAAGGTTAAAGCAAGCTTCTAATATTCCCCTCCCTTTGTCAAAGTAGAGCCTTTTTTTAGGGGCCTCCTCACATCTATCTTTACCCTAACCCTCAAGTAACCCTCAAGTAAGAACTTCATTTTTCCTTTTAAAGTGGCTCCCACCAAAACTGATAAATTCCCCAATATAGTTACCCACCCTCCTACTTATACGGCACATTGTGCACTTCCACCCAGAACTCTGCTTCAACAAGTCCATTTTATGTGGTATATCATTAGGGCCAACGGCCTTTAACAATAACAGATTTCGCTCAAACAGCCAAGGACCATCTTCTATAACACGATTCATATCAATTTTATGATTAAAAGTAAATAGATACCTCTTTTCATCAATTTCTTGAACCGTCATTCCTCTTCCTGGTCCCCAGAGTGGTATAAACAGATCCTGTACCGCCTGAAATCTGACTTTCCGGTCGGTATGAATGACTCCCACCACCGAAAACTCCGCCGCCTTCGCGTTTGGAATTGTAACCTCTTCCTCCTCACCATCAAAATTCAGCCTACTATTTTCTTTCTCCAGAGCCAAACGTCTATACTGCTCTACCACATCCTCATAGTTATAAAATCCGTCCGCCTAGATGCCCCTTCGAGAGGACTTCTTCTCATAAGTCGAAGCCGCAGCAGTCCAACCAAAAGCCGCAGCAGTCCAACCAAAAGCCGCAACAACACTCCACCGACTTTCCTCGTCCCAAATGTTGAAACCGCAGCAGTCAAACCAAAAACCTTCCCCTGCACTCCTCGATGCCTGCCGATAGACACAAACCCAAACCACCTTCTCGCCCCACCTTTGATTCGAAGAAGACCGAAGCCAATAATGAAAAGCGAGTAGGGAAAAACTCAACCTACACTAAGGCGGCGGCGAGAAGCTACCGAGCCCTAGAGAGACCTTACGTAGCGTAGGATTTAGAGAATATATTTGCTTAGATAGTGAAATATGACAAAACTTTTTCATATTTGTATTTTTGAAATCTGTTAAAGTTTAAACTTTTATTGCTAATATATGAGCCTGTTTAGTAACACTGAAATTGGCTGAATCGACTGATTCTGCTGAAATTTATGAAGTTTTGACTGAAGTGTCTGGATAGACTGATTCTGCTTAATTGTGAAAAAATTATATTAAAAATATTTTCTAATAATAACATAAATAAAAAATACAATAAACGGCTAAAATGATCATCTAGAGTAACTTCAATCAATATAGCCAAAAAATTAATTTCAACCTTACTTTTTCTTATTTTTACACAACCCAACGCGTGAGGAAATCAAAAGTTACATTTTTGGTGAAAATGTTGACTAATAAGTCTGATAAGCCGAAAAACAGGGTTACCAAACGGGCTCTATATAGTCCACCCTTTATTTTTTTAATTGAATGCGTTAAATTTTTTAAACTTTTTGGATTATCTGATTTTTAGAATAATATATATATATATATATTTTGATTTTATACAAGTAGGATTCTATTTATGTAACTAGACAATAAAATACGAAGTAACACGGTGTCTAAAATATTATACGTAGTCTTACAAATTTGAGTTTAATGCACGAAGTAGTATGCTTTAATTAAATTGTGATTTTCTAGTATAGTTTGGTAGATGTATGTTTTGGTCTAATCTACCGTAGTGTAATCATATTTGGTCTGATCTGTTTGAGATTAAATTAATCAAGTAAAAACATCCTTAAAAATGTCTATAAATTCCTAAATATGACTATTATGTTATATTTTAAGCATGACAATATTTTCTAAGTTTGACAACAATTAATCTTATTTGGAAAAGAAATATATAACAATTTTGTTTTATATTTTCAAAATATTTTTATTCAAATTTCATGAATTTTCTCAATTTATAATGGTGTTAATTAATTCAGTTTTATGTCAACTTTACACTCAGGGCCCGTTTGATATGATGTAAAGTAAACACTTTGCATGTAAAGTACAGGGAAGTAAACATTTTACACCGTTTGTTTCTGATATTTAATGTAAACTGTAGGACACCTTTTTAAAACACTTTACACTGTACCATGTAAAATACTTTACGTGGGGGGAGGGTTGTAAATTGTTTTACATCCGTTAATTTAGAGAATGAATATATCGGTTTATATTTCATCTACCAGCATCGGCATATTCTCCATCATCAAACTATCATCGCCGAATTTCACCATCATTATCAAACCATGGCTGCATGTTCCAGGATTAGCAATTTTTATATATACATGTAAAAATTAGTTTAACAATTTTATAAAGGTATACTAGATATACAGATTCTAGAAACCATATGGTCCATATACTGTACTCCATATTATTTACCGACCTCTATTAGATAGAGTATTGATTAGAATGTATACTACGTGCTAACATGTTTTGATTCATGCGAAATTTTGAAGATGAGAGCCGATATTGAAATAATGTTTAACAAAGTACCAGTTTCACACGCACGAGTGGTGAACGAAGTACAGTATTATATCCATATATACTCAAACGGTGAGCCCGTTTGGTAGCACGAAAATCGGCTGTTTTGGCTGATTCTGCTGAAATTTATGAAATTCTGGCTGAAGTGGCTGTTTTGGCTGATTCTTCTGATTCAAGAAAAAAATATTTTAAAAATATATTTTATTAATAAATTATAGAAAAAATTACATGTAAAAATAGCTAAAATAGTCCTCTACAGTAACTTCAGCCAATACAGCCAGAAAAGTAACTCCAACCTTACTTTTTCTGCTTATTACACAATTCAGCACACAAAAGTAAAAGTTACGTGTTTGGTGAAAAAGCTGGCTGATAAGCCTGATAAGCCGAAAAAATAGGTCTCCAAACGGGCTCGGTGTATTTTAGTTTACATGCAAACTAATTACAGTCTTACACTTTACTTGCAAACATTTTACATGTAAAGTTTTAATGTGTAAATTATCAAACGGGCCCTCACTCTACCTCTTAATCATTTTCAATGAATCTCTGGCGATTGTATATTTGTATTAACTGGATAAGAACTAAAGAACCTTATGGAGCGGAAAACAATAATTATCCACCAAAAGTTGTGCAATTGATGAGATAGTCGTGGTATATCCAACCTAGAATTTGACGGTGGAATGGATTGAGTTGACGGAATAGTAGGGATCGGAACTATTTTGTGCAGATCACAAGCAGGCCAAGACTCTGGGCTTTGGATCCGAAAAAATAGTCCATTCCTGCCGTGACCTGTATTTATATACTATACCGATCGGCTTCTACAGTTCTACCAACGCTTAAATCCAAAGTATACTTATTATTATCAGAAGAAAAAAGAAATGCACAATATGGAGGGCGAGGATTTCAATAAACCGTGGTTTGTAGTCAGGCCGGACGACGGCACCATGAAATGCTTTGTCCCCGGCTCCCATATTCATGCCCGTTTCTCCTGGAAAGATCAGATCTCGAACATCGCTTTGCCGGCCGATTTACTATCGGAGTCACAAGAGTCCCAGCGCCGATTCATCCGCAATTCACGGGATTTGCGTAAATGGCAGATTGACGATGATTTCATGAATGCTGTCGCCGACAAATTGATTGACAAAATGCGTCGTTACGATATGCAGTGCAATCTCCTGGTAGACATTATTCCTCCGGTGGAGGACGATCCTGAGGCGAGGGCGGCTGCGGGGACCTCGAAAAAGTTTCCCTGGGCATTCAGGATATTGATGATATTACTAGCAAGGGTGGACATAGAACGGTTCTACTAGACCCCCAACCGAATCGGTCCAAACCGGCTGTCCGGCTTGTAATGCATGGTACTGAATCGAATATCGGTATTTAAATGGTTCTATAGGTTTTTATCCTGATCCGAAACTGTATCGTTTGAAACGGCTACGGAACCGGTCCTATATTTTGATAACCGAAAAATACTGAACCGTACCATTAAAAAATAATGGATTTGAAGTTTTTATATTTTTTCCATACCAATAAATGAATAAATATCTTTTATAGACCAATAATTTTATAGCTCAAGTTAGCCAATTATGTATTCATGCGTCCCTACAATAGCTAAATGTGTGAGTTTTTTTTAAACGTTGATTTTTTCTATTACATTCCATAATTGATGATATTCTTTTTATATTTTCACATGAACTTATTAATAAATTAAAGATGAGTTTTATCTCCTGTATCATCATTTTGAATTGCTATATCCTTTCTTAATTGTGTATTTGTGAATTTTAGTATTTCGTATGCAATTTCTTGTATTCATATCAACATTTCATATGAATTGATTGGTGTGATGTTATCTACTAATTGCAAGATTTGTTCATATTTTTTAGCATGTTTTGGCATTCTACCGCACCGTGTTCTACCGGTCCAAAACGACAGGGTACCGAATCCTTCCATCCTTAGAACCGGATCATACCAGACCGCTAGAAACTTGATTTACTAATTTAACGAAACGTGTGGACTGCACCCACCGCTAGTTATTAGGCATTATTAGACCATTTGGAGTGGAGAGGTTTTAGGAGTCCAAAAAGTTAAAAATGGAACTTTTGGACTCCTAAATGTGTGTAGTGGAGAATTGAGAGAGGTCTTAAAAGTGGGTAAGAGGGTTCAGAGTCTTATTAATAGAGGGTGGATTGACTCTCAAATGATGATGTCATCCCTGTGTCATTAAACCTCAAATTTTTTAAAACTCTTATAACTTTTTTAATTGTATTCCAGATTTTTCAAAAAACATATCAAAATTCAAGAATTTTCGTGATCTTTCATATGACACCAATATGTAATATATAAAATAAAATAAAAAATCTTTAGTTTTAAATACGCTGAAGTTTTTCTGAGTCCAAAAAAACATGAATCACAATTTTTTAATTCATGAAGCATTCTCAAATAACTGAATATTTCATAATCGCAGTTTACTTGAACTAAGTTTATTTTTTTAAACGAAAAACGTTAAAAAATTAATGAAATTTATTTATTTTTAAATCGAAATGTGTATTTTTTATTTCATAATTATTTAGGGAAAATATTAAAAGTAAAACATTACTTATAATAATTTAATTAATGTTTTACTAAATTGATATGTAAAAAATATATGCTGAGTGTATTTTATTGACGGCGCACGGATGCAGAAAAATATAGGGGTTTTTACATGAATATTACTAATTTTGAACCAATTACCTAAAAAGTGACTACTTTTAAAAAGGGACAAAAAAGTGATCAAGAAGGTCATATATGTGTAATTAGAAAACATGATGTCACTGCAAATATTATATGTCACTGTGTTTGTTTTTTTGTAACTAAGAGTCGTCACCGTCAAATTTTTTCCCGCCAATTACACCGCCATCGTCACCGTCAAATTTTTTCACGCCAATTACACCACCATCGTCACCGCCACAGTGACACTGTCATAGTGACACCAGCACAGTGACGCCACCGCCCGTGCCACTGTAGCCACCGCCCGTGTCACTGCCGCCGGAAAACATGTCACTATCAAATTATATGTCACTGTCATATGTCATTACCAGATTTTTATGTCACTTTTGAATGTCACTGTCGGTTTTTTATGTCACTTTCGAATGTCACTGCCGGTTATTATGTAACTTTCGAATGTCACTGGTAACTATCATGTCACTTTCCGGCAACTTTTTCCGGTGAAAATGTGGTACAGCCTCCACTGTCACACTACCACCATGAGAAACCGCTGCCACATCACCACAGTCAGCCTCCCCAACCCCAAAAAACACCAACCAAATGACCAACACATACATGCCACCTAATGCCGCCGTCACACAACCTCCAATCACCACCACAACATTCCGGTGACCACCATCCGCCCACCTGACTTACCACTTCGTCGATAGCTCGTAGCCTACCCTCCACAGCCCCCAAACCCCCCCTCCCCAGTCGCTAATCCCCCTCCCCAGTTGCTAACCGGCCACCTCCCCAGTCGCTCCCTACCTCCCCTCCCTCAAATCTCGTCCCAGACCATCGCAACACCCACAACCAACCCCAAGCCTAGCCAATTCAATATGGATCTGGCCCGCCGGCGATGCTCCTCGCCGCCAGATCTGAACCCTATCTATCACAGATCTGAACGTTTAGGGGGAGAACGGCGGTGGCGGCAACGATCTGTCTACTCATTGTATGAAGGACGATGACGACGGCCAAGGAAGCGAAGATCCATCTGCTACAGCCGCCGGGCGAGGATGACGAAGGCCATGGCGGCGGAGACGGCGATCCGTCTGCTCTGTCCGCGCAGGGAGATGTCGAGGAAGAAGCGGCCGGTCTAGTTGCTCTGTCCGCAGAGAAGTTCCATGTTTGCGCGTCCATGTATTGCTCTGTCCGCAGATGTCCGCAGAGAGCTCCAAGTTTGCGTCAATTATAGCGCAAGAAAAAAGAACGTTTTAGTTCGGTCACTTTTTGGTCAAATAGAAATCTAGTCATATTTTGGCCTTCTAAAAGGTGAGGAGTAATAGCCGTGCCATTCTTTCAAAAATATAGTATTGACGGAGTCTAAACACTGTTTTCATATGAACGGAGTCCAAATTTAACAATTTAGACTCTTGACCACTACAAATGGTCTTATCGCTTGTATAGTTGTATCCTTTTAGTGGAAGTCACTTCAGGGATGCACGGTAGGATACTTCCAAAATACGCCCTCTGTCCCTAAAGAAGTTCCATTTCGCTGATCGAGGGTCAACTTAAATCACTCTTAAAATCTTACTTTTATATCAAAATTTTATAAAAGTTGAATTATTTTTTGCAGGCTTTGTAGCGGGTTTAATGTAGTTTCTGAATATGTAAATTTTATTTACTAAAAATAATCCGAGTTTTCACATGGATCATTTAACTTTATCGTCGGTCAACCTTCGTAATCCGCAATCGGAACAACATTTAGGGACGGAGGGAGTAATTTTAATAATAATATAGAAAATGTAATAGTGCAATAATATTAAGTGTATCGGCATTATATAATGAGTGATGGAGAGTCTACCCGGGGGGTATCTTATCCGAGGGGTTATTGCGGGAATAACTAGAGAGAAGTCAGAGCAAAATAGGAGGAGAGAGAGTCGATTTTATTAAATGAACTCAGCGTGTCCTTACAAGGTGAATAAGGGCTGCTATTTATAGCAGCAATAAATGCGATGAGAGTACACGTGTCAGTAATCCGACGGCCGAGGGGTCACATCAGCCGGGTGGCACCGGCAGTGGTACGTTCACTGCATTGAATGCGGTTGGCGGATGCGACGTGGCATTAAATGCGGTGGTTGGCTGTCTCCAAAAGGAATCTTCGCTGATCGAGTGTGTTTGGCCGAAGGCTCCTGGTGTAGCCGAAGGCTCCTGGTGTAGCCGAAGGCTCCTGGTGTAGCCGAGGGTTCTTTGTGTAGCTGAAGGCCCCGAGTGGCATAGGGCTAAGTTCAGCCGAAGGCTTCCCAAATGCCGAGGGCTTGGTAATGCCGAAGGCTCATGTTTTTCGCCGTTTTCTCCCAGTAGCTTCGTATGCCAGAGGGGGCTATTTCGTGAGTTTCTGGAGCCTTCGGCCAAGGAGGCCGAAGGCACCCCAGTGCGTATTCTGGGCTTCTTTGAGGCTTGGGCCGTTGTATTTGGGCCTGAGTTGTTTCCTGGGCTCAATGGACTTGTGCAGGAGAAGTAGGAGTCTATGGGCCGGGGGTTCCTGGGCCATATACTCCATCAGGAGTCCCTCACTCCTTTTGCCGAAAGGTACTTGAAGGAAAAGGAGTAGTTGTGCTGATTCCTCTGGAGGCTTCATCACTTTGTTGGGCGCCCCCGCTTGAGAGTTTGCCTTCCGCTGTTAGCCGAAGGCTTCCCTCAGTCCCTCACATGTCGAGGGTTTTCTGAAGGAAGCATAATACTTGTGTGAATGCCGGAGCCTCTCCTCAGTCCCTCACATGTCGAGGGTTTTCTGAGGGAAACTTTTGATATTTTATTTCGCCATTGCCGAAGGGTGCACCGGGTTACGTGCCCGAGGAGTTCCTCCTTTGCCCGGGGGCTGTATGTATTACTTGTGAATTTTTGTATGAAGAAACTTTTGTTCTGTAAGATTCCCGAGGGGTGTATCCCAGTCCCCCACTCCTTTAGGCCGAAGGCAAGTTCGGGGTGAAGGAGTTATGATGTGTTGGTAAGCTACCGAGGGGTGGTAATATTGATGGGCCGTAAGCTTGGTGAATTTTGTTGGCAGAAGGCTGAGGTGAGTGATAGCCGGAGGCTATCATTCGAGGGCACCCCTCAGTATTGACGAAATATAGTCGTTGTAATATAGCCGTTGGAAGAGGGTTCCACGTGGCGCTTTGTCGTTGGCAGATGGGGGCGGCTTCCATCCATTGGCTGAACCGGCGGCCCGTAATGATGGCCTTTTCAAATCCAGGCCCAGTTCTCAAGGCTGAAAGCCTATATATACTCCAAGTCTGAGCTCATTTCCGCTGCGCGTTTTAGAATTGAAGCGAAGCTCTGCCAAAATTTCTAGAGAGAGAAAGTCCTTGCTTCGATCAAATCCTATTTTTAAGGTCAGTTCTTCCTCAGTTCTTCGTTTCTTCGGCATACTTAGCTACTTCGGCCTTAGATTTAGCGTTTTAGTTCCCCCCAGTTAGTATTCTTTTCCAATCTTCCCCCTTATTCCGCGGAAAGATGTCCTCGGCAAGCGACTCCCAAAACATCCCGGAGGAAGCCCCCGCCCAATCTGAGAGCTACTCGGGCATGGAGTCATCGAGTGAGGCTTCGTCCAACAATGATTCTGAGGTGGCGAGAGAGGTACAAAGCAAACTTCATGCTGAGGCCGAAGCCGAAGACTTTGAGCAAGTAGCGGAGGACGAGGAGATGGCCCTCGCGCTTCAGGTGGCGGAGGAAGAAGAGGAGAAAGAGAGGCGACGAGTCACGGTTGCTGTCCTGCCTTCGCGAGGCGCCGGTGAAGCGAGTAGCTCCCGGCCTATTGACGCTATCCCCCTCCGGGTAGCTTCCGGGAAGAAGAGCAAGAAACAGAACGCTGCCCCGAAGAAGAAACAGGCTGTGGTGGATGCGGGACAGCCGGTGGGAATTCCCGAAGGACATTCCTACCTCAACACAGCCGCGCTGGATTTGAAGACGAAGGCTGTGGAGGCGGAGTATCTGAAGACTCAGCTCTTGGTGGGCCCGTCGGCACAGGTGGTAGTCCCAG